GGGCCCCCGGACCCATTCTGGGAGACTTGCTATTTAAGGAGCAACTGCAGTGCAGCGGTTGGGAAAACAACACGTTTGCCTTCCTCCTCGGTATAGCTTTTGTATAAATCTGAGTTTTCTACTTTGAGACGTTCCCGAAGGGAGGCGCCCTTTCCTCTTGAAGCAGTGAAAACGTGGCCCCGGGCAGCCTCGATGGAGCCGTCGTCTGCCCTTGAAAGCGGGGTACGCTCTTCCGCTGCTCGGGACTTTTCCTTCCCATCTTTGGCTCCTTCCCCTTCTTTCAGGTCGACAAATGTTTTTCCTTTCCACAAACGAAACTTTCAAAGAAATCTGCTTCCTATAAAAGCAATTCTACATTCACCTCCCAAAACTGTCTAAAATGACCAAACCTGTTGCCACATAGCTACCCTATAGGAAGAAGTTAGAACTACCCCTAGGTTTTCCAAGGCTGTCATCTTTACAGAAGCTGATTGCCACATCTCACGCAGTGGGTTAGAAGAGCCCATGGAAAACCTTGTGTCACCAGGCTCCCTTGAACCTTGTCTACGACATGTAAATACAGCCCTCCACTCCCCAGTGCCCCGATCCCAGCCCCTTCTTCTCCCCATACATTGCAGCACCTCCTGACAGTCACAGGGTCTCTGTACGCTTAACCTCACCTTCCAGGCTCCCAACCACCCTCACTGTTGAATCAACATCTAAAAGTAACACAACATCACCTTCCTGACCAGTGGATTCCAACCCACAGCAACCCCCTAGGACAGAGGAGACCTGCCCTATAGGGTTTCCAAGGCCGTCATCTTTACAGAAGCCGACTGCCGCTGCTCCCACAGAGCAGCTGGTGAGTTCACACTGCTGACCTTTCAGTTAACAGCCAAGAGCTTAACCACCGCACCACCAGGACTCCTTAACACAACCTCAGGCTGTGGGCTTCCTGCTCAGCGCACAACCTGGATCTAGTCAGGAAGAAACACCAGTTTCTGTGGCAGATTCTTTCAGACGTGGACCGCCCCTTCCTGCTTCCTAGTCTGTCTTAGCCTGGAGGCTCTACTGAACCTGTCCACCAGGAGTGACCCCGCTGGGATGTGAAATACCGGTGGCCCAGCTGCCACATCACAGCAGCACGCAAGCCACCACAGTGCAGCAAACCACCAGGCGAGCGGCGGGAGAAAACCACGCGAACCCCAACTGAAAAATACTGTATTCTACAGACTAAATGACCGGTACTTGTCAACGAGCAGATTGGTCACAAACTGGAGGAGACAAGGGAGACACGAACTCCTCGGGTAGAGCAAATGGCTGGGCTCGGCTACTGACCTATCGGTTGGCGGTTTGAACCCTCCGCCCAGTCGTGCGGTGGAAGAAAGGTCTGACAGTCTGCTTCTGTAAAGATTACCACCAGGAAAACATGGAGCACAGTTGTGCTTTGACACACTGGGGTTGCCGTGACTCAACACCAATGGCTCGGGTTGGGTTGGGTTTTGTTTAAGGGGACGTGACAAAGGAATGTGGGACCCTGGAACAAAAACAGGGCTGGACTACCCCCAAACCGGGGAAGCACGGCTTTACTTGTTGCTCACTGACTCCTTTGTAGTGCGTAATGTTACATTCTTCGCCCCACATCAGACATTCTGGTTCTAGGTAGGGCTGGCATCTGTCTCCCTCCCAGCCCCCCAGCACCTTCCTACCAACTCAAAGCCTCTTTTCCAATGGACAGTCCCTGATGGGGGTGGAGAACCCAGGCAGCAAGGGAAGGACAGGCTCACTTGTGCCTACCCACTAATCCGTGGTGAACAGTTTCACATGTTTTTCACATCTTTGAAACCATGCAAAACTGTTCACTACAGATTAGTAGGTAAACTTGTGCTTCCCTTGCTGACTGGGTAATTCACTCCTGAAATGGATGTTAGGGGGAAAGCTGGTGAAATTCAACAAAGGTCTGCAGTTTAGGCGAACCACTGTGACCACTGTTAAGTGCCTACTTTAATGACTATCCTGTAATTGTGTCAGATGTTGTTAGGGCAAGCTAGGGGAAGGGTGTACCAGAAATCTCTACGATTTTTCAACTGTAAGTCCGAAATTATTTCAACATAAAAAGTAAAAATAAATAATAATTAAAATAAACCTTCACCAAGCATCAACTACGTCCAGGCACGCTCACGCATCCCATTCGCACAGATGAACAGCACGCTGACCTGTTTGTACACATGAGCAAGCTGCGGCTCAGACAAGGGTGGTGCGCCGCCCAAGGTCAAAGCTAGTAAATGCTAACGGAATAAACTGACATTTACTGAGAGTGTTGTAAGTGCCAGAAACGTCTGGACACCTTCCCTCATGACCCATTTGGTCCTTACCACAACCCTCTGAGGTAGGTATTTTTGTCCCTGTTTCAGAGATGGGAAACGGCACTGCAGAGTGATGTGACCAAAGTCGCACACAGGCCAGCCAAGTGGCAGAGCTCACACTGGAAACCGGATCTGACTCCTGAGAACACAGTGCTCTGACTGACCCTGCCACCACCCTCTGTAACCCTCCCAGCGGCCTGTCCATCATAACCTCCCTGTCTCCCACATCCCCCAACCCAGCGCATCAGGAGGCTCTGGAAACACCCATCCCCACTAATGCAGTACCGCGTTCCCCACATTCTGACTTCCTTAAACAACATGAAGATCACCTTTTCACCTTCCCTCCTCTCCCCCAATCCTGCCCATCCGCCCACCCCTCATGGTGACTCCGGGTCTGTATGTACATCAGTCGGGTGCATTTTTCAGCACAAGTAACGACTGTGCCCAGCTCCCCCCCACTCGTGAACACATTCTGGAAGCAGCTTGGTGACAGTCCCCGGAGTTGAAGCTACTGCTGAGACCTACAAAGGGCCAGAGCCTTCCTGATCTCCAGGTTAGAGGGTGAGTCATTCAATAAACCTGTGGGGAGTGGGCATGTTGTGGTCCCCCGGGTGCCAAGACACAAGACCTCTGCCTTTCAGGGGCTTATGGTAGCCTGGGAGAGATGCCCCAGGAATGGGATGGATGGAGCAGATGGAATCAGTTAGGCGTAGTGACAGATTGGACATGACAAAGAGTTCTCCCACAGAAGTCCAAGATGCTCTCCTAATGCCGAGGCCTGGAGGGTCCCTTCTTTGCTCCAGGACAGCAGGAAGGATGATACTCGGGAGACAATGAGACAGAAGCCAAGGGCTTTCTCCCACATCCAGCCCAGGCTGCTGCCACGTTTGCAGGGCGTTCGCGTCATGTGTGACTCACGGTGTCATGTAAACGCTACACCTCGGCATCCCGCCCTTGCCTTCCCTCCCACGCACGCTCGCTCATGGAAACGCTACACCTCGGCATCCCGCCCTTGCCTTCCCTCCCACGCACGCGCGCTCATGGCGGAGGAGCCGGAGCTCAGCTGTCACCGTCACACGGGTGAGGGCGCCGAGATCGTCAGCACACCACTTGCGCTCTGGTTGTTCTTGTCAGATGCTCCCCAAGGTCTCTGCAGTGCCCACGTGGTTTCTGGTTGTCAGGCCGACGACAGCCTTGAAGAAGCATTTCCTGCTCTTCTCTGGACACGTGTCCAGAGCTGCAGTTGCAAGTTTTGAGTCCTGCTTTCACTGATCAGGGTGAGCTTATAGGAATCTGCCCACGTTTGTTTCAACGTTGACTTCCTGGTAGCCGGTCACGAGTCTCAGGAAGCTGCCTTCACAGGAAATAGAGGATAAGGTGTCCTGGCAAAGTGAAAGAAGACTGATGATATTAGACCACAGAAATCTCAGCAGGCACCACGGTCACCCAGGAGACTTCCGTCGCTCCGTCACACAGTACCCACGCCGGTGGTTGTTGAGTCGACTCCAACTCATGGCCACCCTGTGTACCAGGGAGGACTGCACTCTACGGGGTGGC